GTTTTCACTGTTCAGCCTATTAAACGTCCGTCACCTAGGACGGACGTTCACTCAAGTATAAACGTCCGTCTCGGTCAGGGACGGACGTTCAAAGGCTACACATGGTTTTCAATGTTCAGCTTATAAAACGTCAGTCACCAAGGACGGACGTTCAAAGGTAACACATGGTTTTCACTTTTCACCTTATAAACGTTCAGTTGTCAGCCTATTAAACGTCCGTCACATAGGACGGACGTTCACGCAAGTATAAACGTCCGTCTCGGCCAAGAACGGACGTTTAAAGGGCTGACATGTGTTCAGTTGTCAGCCTATTAAACGTCCGTCACCTAGGACGGACGTTCATAACATTATAAACGTCCGTCTCGACAAGGGACGGACGTTCAAAGGGCTGACACGTGTTCACTTGTTCAGCTTATTAAACGTCCCTCACCAAGGACGGACGTTCATAACATTATAAACGTTCGTCTCGACCAAGGACGGACGTTCAAAGGCTGACAGGGGTTCACTTGTTCAGCCTATTAAACGTCCGTCTGCCAATGCTGGACGTCTATAATATTATATACGTCCGGCTCGACCAAGGACGGACGTCTTGAGTTCCACTTATTTACTAATATGCCACCGGTCAATTATATACGTTGGGGCTTTTGTGGACAGACGTCTATTGATTGACGTTAAAAGCCCTTTCTGCACTAGTGAACATCTATACTCTTCGTTAATAATTTAGACGAAAAAAGGACTAAATTTGACAAAATTTACAAAATTGGAGACGAAATTGAATGCAGAAAAAAATGAGAACCAAAATTAAACAAAATTAAACAAAGTGAACCAAAATAAAGACTAAAATAATAATTGTCTTAAAATTATGTTTTCAGTAGCATTTATTTTTTTAAGGGAAATTCAAAACTACACTTTTTAAGAAAATCACTTAACAACTTATATCATTAATTAAATAATTATATTTATACCATAATAATCAATAAAAATAAAATAGAATTACATTAAATTATTAAGGAGTATGTAAAATATATGGAATGTCTACCTACCTATTATTGATTTCTTTTATGGTCTTCAATGTATTGATTCAAAAACAGACATTTTCTAATTCAATTTTTAACTATTTTATTAATGACATCCCATTATTAAAAATAATAATATCATATTTTATTGTCAATAAAAATTTAAATAACATGTTGCCGTTAAGGTAAAGTAGCAATTCACAAACACTTCCATTTTATCTATATTTATTATACATTTACTTTCTCTTTTTGTCTCTTTCTTTTTATTACATCACATTTTAGACATTTATTGAAATATTTTTATTTATAAAAATTCAACTGAAAGTACTCAAATTATAAGATTATTAAAATTCAATTAATTCTTTTATGTTTATGTATTCGGCGGTGATGTAAGTGTTTTTCCGTTAACTAGTAGGTGTTTGTGTGAAGACTGAAGAACTTCTTACTGACCATAGTAGTCGATCGTTTTGCAATCAAGGTACACATTCTTCAAGAAACGAGCACTTAGCAGAAGACCATGATAAAACCTTATTCTCATCACATAGTTCCTTTTCATTCTTTGAAACAGGTACACCCACTTTGCAGGGTGGAGTGGAACCAAAGAGAAATAGATGTTGAAGGCCAAGTTCCTTCTTCGTTTTGGAAGTAATCCTGTGCGGGTTGCGGCTTTCAGCTTCAAGAAACTCAGGAAAATTCAGGTCCTTGATACCGACATTTCTTCTGCTGTTGGTTAGTCTTCTCTCTCTCTCTCTCATTCTTTACGTGATAAAATTGCAAATGCTTTCTGTCTTACTTCGAAAAACATCCAAAATTTTGGTTGGCTTGTTTCGTTTTTCATTGGTATACATGAAATTCTGTTTTTTCTGTTGTTGTTGCTATTGTGTTTTTTGTTCCATGAGTGGTTATGGCGGCTTAAATTTTGTATTTGTTTATGTTCTTTTGTATTTGTGAGTAGTTTGGGGAATGGTCCGAAAAGGGGTAGTTTTAGCTGAGGTTAGTTACAAAATTGTGGATGTAGGTTTGCTGGCCACGGAAAATTAGTGGTGGAAAACAGTTTTTGTTTATGGAGTTTTGAATTATTTATTGCTTCCAAGATACCCTTTGGCTTTTGGTTTAGCAGAATGGTTTTAACCCTGTAGGCAAAACATGTTGCCGTTAAGGTAAATACGATGAAGCTTCTGCGGCTTTAGAGCTTTCTTTAATACACAATTTTAATTATTGTGTGCAATTTACATGTCTATTATATATATGAAGCGATTATCCTAATCATAATTCCTCTTTGTGTGGAAGTTATTGGCGTTGAATTCAAGTTTAAGGAGAACAACTAGTGACAATGATGAATGTGGTTGCGGTCACATTGATTGAAAGTTGAAAAGAAAATCTGTTTTCGTGAAACGAGTCTGATTGTACTGATAGTATGTAATTGTACAGATATATGCGAGAAGTTAACAGTAGCCAAGTAGGGTATCAAATACTAACTGAAAGACAGGTAACAGTGATCTAAACCACAATCATATACGAGCATGGATAGATGTTGCAAAAGTGTTATTTGATACTTGTATCAGCAAACATTGTCAACAACTTATTGAAAGGGGTAATGATTATAGGATGTTATGGTATATTTCCTATGGAGTTAAAAATAGGGATGAAAATTTATTAATCAGTTTTTGCTGGTGGGATAGTAGCAGACCAAATTAAATTTCCCCAGCCATTTGGCTATGCAAAATATTGCTTCTAACCTAGTCTCATAAAAGGAAAAAATACAGATATTGACTACATTTTGTCTTTGACATTATTCTTTTAGGACATAAACTACCAGTTTTGTTAACTTCAATGATCAATTCGCTGATACATTAACTAATCTCCTCTGTAGGCCGTGGGTTGATTTTGTATCTTAAGCTTGGTGTCTGTGACATACATGCTCGAGCTTTAGGGATGCATAAAATTGATTTTATTTACTCTTAACTTCTTCTAATTCTTTAGTCATTCATGATGGATTTTTTAGTCATGTTGATTATGTGTGGAGCTGTATATTTGCCAAGGGGAAAGGTCTTGGGGCCAAGGACCCCACTGCCCAGTGTTCTTGGAGCTACCCATGCAGCAATTATAATATGTAGAATTTTAATTTTTCTTGACTGGGTTAAATATTAAAAATGCTTTCCCTAATAAATTTTATTAAAGCTAATAAACTGGTTAATTGTATTAGAAGTTTGTAAGAACACTTTTTTATGGATTATGTTTGATGGTGGTTGGTCCTGTTACTCCCAAAAACTGTTAAGAATTTTTTTGTTTCTGTTTATAATCCACCTTGTGAAATCCAGATTAACTTTATGCTATTGTTTTGCCATTTTTATTTATTTTATTTTCCCTCTGCAGACAAAATTTTGCAAGAAATGGATGTTGTATCCTATAGAGTACTAGGCTATCTTCTTCTCGGCATTGTCAGAATATACTCGAGAAAGGTTGAATATGCACTTGATGATTGCAAGGAGATGCTCATTAACGTTAATAAATTTGTGGACAATAGAGAAGACTTTGCCCATGTGGAAACCTTGCGTATATGTGTTAGTATACCTGAGAGATTACAGTTGGATGCTTTTGAGTTGGATGTACTTGAAGATACTGGCAAGTAAGGTTTTACTAGATTATAACATACAAATTACATGCTTTTGGAATTTTATTTTGGTTTTGAGCATTTCATTGCTTATCTTTTAATGTTTCAGAGACCATACTGCTCTTCCAGAAGAAATTACTATTAGAGACAAAGGTACTAAAATTCTTTCACTATTTTACTTTTATAGTAAATTTAATGTTATCCTATTTTTTGAGTAATATATGCTGTGAAATGCAACAGAGGTTGTGTGTAAAACTGGGGATTTTGGGCTGTTTTCTCAAGAGAAGGTATGCATTCCATAGTTCTTCATAGGTATCAAATTGTAGTGTCTCAATTCTTTATCTGAATAATGTTTATTCTATTTTATCCACGCAATTATTTTTGTTTCTGTTTGTCTTGGGCTGTTCACTAAGATATTGTCTAATAAATGCTTTTCCGTGAGTATATAGGTCTGTTTCTGTTGGATTCAAGAAATAAACACATTTAATTCTAGATAAATTATAGAATCATCTTACTGTATTTAGTTAAGATTTTAGTATAAAAATAAAAAAATACTGGGTTTCCTTAAAATAGATTTCTTTCAAAACACCAAAATCAACAACCTCAACCCGTTATTGCCTTGTGCAAGTTGTCAAACTATAACTGGCACACCATTGGATAAAACTGCTTTACTCGAAATTAATGTAAAAATAACTTCCTAATGCAGAGGTATAACTGCCTAATTTTTGTTATGGCTTATCAATGCCTTGTGTTACACAAGAAGCCTTGCACTAAGTACTGAAATAAAGTAATTGTTCCTAGCAACTCAGCTATGAATTTGGTCCCAACAATGCAACCTTTTTATCTTCATCTCTCAAAATAAGCATTCTTAAAGTTTTTTCATGATACCCATGATGTGGCCATAATAATGGTTGGCAACATTGAAAACGATAAACTTCTTTCTAAAATTTTCTCAAGTTAAACAAACAAAATGTTTTGAACAATGAATTTTCTTTTGAATTACCACTAGTATAACATCTTCCCAGTTCCCACTGTATCTCTATCAGCTTTAACCCTTTTTAAAGAAAAAAAATGTTGTTCTCGGGTTGAATTAGGATTCAAATCTCACTGGTTATAACAGCCCAGACCCAGTGTTCTGGTGCTAAACCACACCGAACAGAAAGTTGACTATTTCCTTTTTTTTTTTTCTCTAAGCCTAGCATTATAAATATAAAATTTGTTGTTTATCTGTTTGTCTAAATGAATGACAGTGGGCACAATTTGTGGATCACGAGTCCTAAATTTTCTTCTACATACTAACCACATTCAAATCATTCATAAAACAATCCTAAAGTCAATTCTTCTGTAATCTGGGTAATTGGGCCTATGAACATTATAAATTGCTGCTCAAACTCCAACACACAATTTGTTTGATTGCAAGGCCGGTAATTGTTCATAGGGATTTTCTGTTCCATTACTAGAAAACCTATTCAATGGTTCCACCTTGAAAACCTCCAATGTTGATAGAGCCCAGGAACAACGGTCAGCTGGAGGACCAATTGTTGGGTCAACACAGCCCAAGGATTCTGAAACTTTACTCCAGAAAGAAGGAATCCTTGCAATCAGCAGCAGAGGTTGTAGTTGTTCACAATGGAGTGCTGATTGTAACAGAGGGAACAAAAAAATGGTGTGGCTCATAGGGTGCAGATAGCAAGATGAATTGAGAGTGAAATGGCTCGGTACCTACAGTTCTAGGAGCTGAGAGGTTTGTTGTGATTTCTAACTATACAAATACTTGTTCTTCCACATTTTCGGCATTCTGGTCTGTGTGAGTTTAATGCTAGTGTTTGGGTGAGTTTGTGTAATTATAGGCTTCCAGATCTAATCCAGTTTACATTAGTCCCTTCCATTCAAATCAAGCCCATGGACAATTTGAGTTCTGGTTTAGTCTTTTGCTTTTCAAAAAGGCCATGTTTATAAATACAATTAATTAAAAACTTTTCAACCCTAGCTTGCTACCTAATACGATCTTTCCCATGAAAATTGGGTAATTTCACTTTCCACTCTCTTTCTAAACGGATTTGAATCCCCATCTTCAAGGATGGATGAGTGACCAATGACATGACCTTGATTATGTAGTTGACTAGTTCTAGAATGGTTAAAACATCCTTCATGGTGTGTCTCCATTGATTGATTTTTGTTCTTGTTAGATATTTATATTGTGTCTTATGTCATTTTACATATTTATTTGTATTTGGGCTTAGCTCATATTTTCTTTATTATAAATGCATTATCCTATGTGTATTACCGAAGGGAGATTAACCCTATACCTAGTTTTTACTATATTCAACATGATATTTAGAGTTTACGTTCTCCACTTTTTTCGTCACCGCTGACACTGCACCCACCATCGCTGTTACTAGAGCCGCATGCACGGTTGTCGGAGCCGCCTCCACCGTTGCCAGAGTCGCCATCACCGTTGTTGGAGTTTAAGTTCAGATCGACAATCAAACTGTTTTGCTCGTCATGCCCAAGCGACAACCATGCCATCGAGATTGCCCTGATCGGAGTCCATACGCTAGTTCCACTGCTCTTATTGCATGCACAGGTATATCTTTTGTTGGCCTAACTCAGCCTCCTTCTCTTGGACCTTAGGTTCTCGACTCAAGTGCCATAGATCACTTTACTAGTAACAAATATTGGTCACCATTTTCAGACCAAAGATCTTGGGAAACTCAGATACTTCTTGGGTATTGAGATAGGACAATCCAACAATGGTATTGTTATAACTCAAAGGAAGTATCCATTGGATATTTTAGAGAAAACTTGGTTGACGAATTCTAAACCTGTTGACATACCCATGGATCCTAATACCAAACATCTTCCAAATTAGGGAGAGCCTTTCTCAAATCCTGAGCAATATAGAATATTAGTTGAAAAATTGAATTATCTTAATGTTACTCATCCTGACATTTCCTTTGCAATCAATGTGGTGAGCTAATTCCTCAATTCCCCATGTGAAGATCATTGGAATACAGTTATTCATATATTAAAATACATTAAAGATCTCCTATAAAAGGTTTGTTATATGGTTCCAATAACCATATAAAAGTTCTTTGTTATTAGGTTTAATCAGTTCGGAGGTCCCTATTTGTGCAGATTTGTGTCAATTAGGTCATCGTATTTTCAAAGAACTCAATTAGGTTCCTTTTTATGTAAAATTGAGTCAATTATGGCCTTGTCGCTAATTGTTGTGGACGATGTTAAATTTGTTGCCTGGTGGCATGCTGAGCTAGCATTTAATAAGCATGTGACACAGTACGAAGTCATTACTTGGATTTATTTTAAGGGTGGATTTATTTTAAGTTTTAAATAAAATCCCTGTTACCTCTCTCACTTTCTCTCCGGTGCCATGGAATCGAGTAACCCTATCGCCTCCTCGTCGATCTGACTAGAAGCCCTAGTTTCCAAATCGGAAGGAAGCTCCTGGCGGCACACCTTTCCTAGCCTTCTCCATATCCTGATTTGCACTTTGTCACGGAATTGGCCAAAAGTATCTTGCAACAAAGCAGCAAAAACACTGCCCCAAGCACCAGCACCAACACTCACAATTCTCAAAGGATCACCATCATCCTTCCCAACAAGGCTGCGAACATCATCAAGCTTCTCCTCTGAACCATTGCAGGCCTTTTGATCAGAGGTTTGTGTTACCGCTAAGATGTAAAATAAACTGCAAAATCATATCTTTCTGGTGGATATGCATGGATAAAAAACTAACTCATTTTCAGATTTTCGGACAAAAATTCTCCACTCCGAAACTTTAGTTCAAATAGATGAATGAATGAAATATATCATACAATAACCACTAAAAAGATGCCCCTTTTGGCTTTCTAGACAGCTCACATGCCCAAAATCCAGAGGCAAAAAAACAAAAATATAAAATGTAAAAACTGTTTTCTCCTTCTAGAGTTGTTTATCTACCCTGCGAAGAACGCAGCCACAACCAGTAAAAAACAAAGCAGAATACAAAATACCCTTAACTTTTCTGTGGGGTTAAAGGGTGAGCGGTTGCCAGCGGCATCGCGACGGCGACAGCGGAATCCCTGTCGACGGAGCGAAAGATGGTTGTCGGGGAAAGGGCTGAGATGGTGGTGCGGCGAGGTGTTGGTGCGAATCTCTTCAACGAAGCCACTCTGGCAGTGGGGGCAGGCGATGGTGGCCTGAACGAAGCGGGTACAGTTGTAGCACCAATACGACGGCGTTCCGTGATGCGTGTCGGAATTCATGTTTTTGATGAAAATAAATCAATTCTATGTAAGGAGACCTCACTCTGCCACATGCTTTATAATTGCTAGCTCAGCATGCCACCAGGAAACAAATTTAACGCCGTCCACAACCATTAATGGCAAGGTCATAATTGACTCAATTTTACAGAAAAAGGTACCTAATTGAGCTATTTGAAAATACGAGGACCTAATTGACATGAATCTACACAAATAGGGATCTCCAAAATGATTAAACCTTGTTATTAATATGCTTATCGGGCAGGATCTCCTCCTGATAGCAAATCTACTTCCCGATATTATGTCTCTATTGGTGGTAACTTTATCTCTTGGAAGAACAAGAAACAAAGCATTGTGACAAGATCTAGTGCAAAAGCATAATATAAAGCTATGGCCTCAGTCACTTGTGAACTTGTTTGGCTTAAACAATTGCTTAAAGAGTTGCAATTTGTAGATAGATGTCACTCAAATGACACTTATATGTGACAAATAGGCAGTATTTCATATTAGTTCTAATACTTTTTTTCATGAGAGGACCAAGCACGTTGAGATTGATTGTCATTTCATTCGAGAAAAGATTGTATCTGGAAACATCAAGACCGAGTTTGTTAACTCAAGTGATCAATTAGCAGATATTTTCGCTAAGTCTTTATTAGGACTTAAAATTGATTATGTTGTAATTAGAGGAAAATCTTCCTAATTAGAAAAAATATCTATAGAATCTTCCTAATTAGAGAAAATATCTGTAAAATCTTCCTAATTAGAGAAAATATCTGGAGAATTTTCTAGTTTTTATTTAGTATATTGTTTCCTTATTTTCCTTTTTTAGAAGATTAGTGTTAGAATAATTACTGTTATATATCATCATTAAGGCTTGTCTGCTAGACCATTAATGAGTCTTACCTAGTTCTGTACCTAGAGGTCTAGTGCAGACTCTTGATGTTCCATGTACTCTTGTGTTTTCAATATATATAGAAGATAATGAGAGGGATCAGTCAAGCCCTCAAGAATATATTTTATCAGTTTTAATCTCAAGTTGGTATCAGAGAAGGTTCATCCTGCTCTGGTTTCTGTCCTGGGTTGTCCACCAGCATTGTCATTGTTGTTCGCATTTGTCCGGTGCCCTTTG